TCCAAACAAGGAAAGTTTTAGCCTTAAATTCCTTCCAACGGTCAGGTCTCTACATCGATGTTCTATACTAGAACATCGCTGTTTAGGTCTGCCTTTGGAGATGGAAGTTTGGCCAGACAGCGCTGTTGCTGGGTCAACATCGCTGTCCAAAAACTTTCTGCCAATGCACTATATTTTTGGCTTAGGTTGGACAGCGCTGTAGGGAAGCCTACATCGCTGTTCCAGAAGTTTCTGGAAATCCAACCTTGGCTCAACAGCGATGTCTAGTGACCAACATCGCTGTTGGAAGACTTAACGCCAAACCATGTTTTTAGCTACCCAGTCCAGACAGCGCTGTTCATTACCTCAACATCGCTGTTGGGCTGACCCATGGTTGGTTTAGTCACGCCGTTAGCCGATGTCAAAAATGCAAGTTCTCCAAAATAAAAACCAAGTTTAGAAAACATTTGTTTATTGCATTTTGCTAAGAGAACAAGTAAAACATCTTGAAAACCACGTCATTTAGTTGAAAACCACGGCTAACCAAGTTCGTGCCGTTTCGCATGGTTTTTACTAAACGACAAAAAACGGAGAGTGGTTTTGAGGCGTTTTTGTTGGAGAGCTAATTAAATATGCCCAGAGGTAAAAACCAGTCATAAAAAGTTGAAAACCACTTGGTTGGTTCGAACGCCAAAAACCAATGCCGAAAACCGAAAGCCGAATGCCGGTTTCTGAAAGCCGAACGCCGGATGGCTTGGTTTTTGGTTTTTGGTTTTTGTCCCAAGTTTAAACTTAAGAAAAATATTTTTGAACATGTAAAAGAGATTTTTATGAATTGAGCCTAGAGAGCCAAGATTTGGAATTTTGTGCCGGTCTTGATCACATTAAGACCAACTCAATACAATTTTAGTTCTTCGTTCTTGATTCTGGGTTCTTGGTTCTCAAGTCATCATGCCATGTTCCTTCGCCTTAGTTTTGCTCACTTTAGCTTCGATATGTCGCGGCGGTTTGACATTATCAAAACCTGTCATAAAAACCGAACACAGTTTAGTACGACGTAAGGCGTAAACCCGTGTTCCAACATCAATAGGTCTCTTTCAATGCTTCCAAAATTGACCCAAGCCCCAATCTTTTGTCTTTATAAAAAAGCATCCCATTCTTCTTTTTGTTCATATAACTCCAAGTTTGAATCAAGTATATGATGTTTTGGATTGTTCTCTTCATATGTGGCTTCCTTCCTTCAAAAAAGTTTTTGTTGTCCAAGTGATGAAACCTGAGATAATCTGTCAAAGCTTTGCTCTCAGGTTCTTGTTTTGACTTCTTAACCACCATTCTAGCATATGGAGTTTAAGGCGAGTGCCTTTCTCTGCATAGGATCCATCAACCATACAAGAAAAGAAGCTCCAGACTTGAGATATTTCTGTGCAGCTGAAAAGAATGTGCTCTTTACTATCTTCTGCTTTTGACAAAAACAGCAGCAACTATGAAGATGCATATTAAATCTTTTTCTCAAATTTTCTGGAAAAGGAAGAGCATTATGGAGTAGTTTCCATTGAAGCATTCTTATTTTTTGGATTTGATGTTTACTCCAGATATATTTGCAAGAGAAAAGTCTTGTGCCCTCATCAACAGTAGCAGTGTAGGCCTTTTTAATTGTAAGAGTACCTCCTTCCCATTGAAGATTATTGCCTTCACAGGAGCAAAAATCACTAGCCTTGTCATTGTTTCTGCATACTCTTCCAGATATGAGAATCTCCAATGCGCTCCTTAAAACTACCTCTTCTCATGTATTTAGCTTTCATGAAATTAGTCCATATGCTATTATTTTTCTGAACCTTCCACCAAAGCATATAAGAGTAAGCAGTTTGCATATCAGTCAAGGATTTGATCCCTAGACCTCCCAAAGCAGTAAGTCTGCAGACAGAATCCCAGTTCTTCCAGTGATATTTGGGGATTCCTTCTTTGAATCCCCAAAAAATTTAAGCAATTCTTCTATGAATATCATTAATCACAGATTTTGGAATAGAATGAACTGCCAGAATATGCATATGAATTGCAGCAAGTACATGTTTTATAAGAATCAATTTCCCCTTTAGAATATGCACTAGTTAACTAACTGCCTTCACCTTTAGAATATGTAGAAATTATGTCTGGATATTCATTTATGGCTATATCTTTTTAAGGTACGGTTCTGTTTTGATGGGAAAGGAGATTTCAAGCTTTCAATCTGTCATGAAGTCATTTATGGTTCTAATAGTCACAGCATTGGCCATGGGAGAGACCCTCGCAATGGCACCAGACCTCATAAAAGGAAACCAAATGGTAGCATCTGTATTTGAAATACTTGATCGCAAGACCGAGATTCCCAGTGATGTAGGGGAAGAGTTAACAAAGGTAGAAGGTACAGTCGAGCTCAAGGACGTGGAGTTCAGCTACCCCTCACGGCCCGATGCTCTGGTTTTCAAGGAGTTCAACATGAGAGTGCGACCAGGCCAAAGCATGGCCTTAGTAGGGCAGAGTGGTTCTGGTAAAAGCACAGTCATTTCCCTCATATTGAGGTTCTATGATCCAACATCAGGGAAAGTGATGATTGATGGTTAGTATTTCCATGCTAAACAAAACCAGAAGATAGATAGATAGATATATGCAATTTTCTTGATCAACCAAATCTTTCGTCCTTTCTACACAGGTAAAGACATCAAGAAACTAAAGCTCAAGTCTCTGAGGAAGCACATAGGCTTGGTCCAGCAAGAACCGGCGCTGTTTGCCACAACAATCTATGAAAACATAGGGTATGGGAAAGAGGGAGCATCCGAAGCAGAAGTGATTGAAGCAGCAAAGGTGGCCAATGCCCATAGTTTCATTAGCGCCCTCCCAGAGGGCTATTCAACCAAGGTTGGAGAGCGAGGCGTGCAGCTTTCTGGAGGCCAGAAGCAGAGAGTGGCCATAGCCCGAGCTGTCCTAAAGAACCCTGAAATCTTACTCTTGGATGAAGCCACCAGCGCACTTGATGTTGAGTCAGAGCAGATTGTTCAACAAGCTTTGGATAGGTTGATGAAAAGCCGGACATCAGTCATTGTGGCACACAGGTTGTCAACCATTACAAATGCAGACCAGATATGTGTTTTACAAGATGGAAAGATAATAGAGAAGGGGACTCATTCTTCACTGGTTGAGAACATGGATGGAGCCTATTATAAGCTTATTAACTTGCAACAGCGCCAACATGAATGTTAGGAGCTGTTTGGGTATTGAGACGTGTAATTCAATGTATATATTGTCTTCCTATTTCGATTTAAAGTGTGTGACTTTATTTTAGTCCTCATACATTTAATACACGAAGCTGCTTTTGTAAAATTGTGTCCCTAGACCAGTTTCCTTGCTCTTTCCCATTTTTTTTAGAGTTGACAAGTTTTTTTTGAATCTCATTCTACCAAAACATCATCTTCTATGCATTTTCTTTACACCATGCATTATGTTTCAAGTCGTCGTCATCGGCATCATCATCATGTTATCATCACTATTAGACATGAGGAAAATTGATATGACTTGGTTTTTACTCAAGACCCGATTTAAAATTTGTCAAATATTAGATTTTGAACTAATATATTGTTTAACAAATTCGAATGTCCGAACTTGATGGACCTGCTAGATATGGGTCAAACCTGTTCGAACTCGAACCCGACTTGATTGACCTTCCAAGATAAAGTTATTTTAAAGTCTTGTAAATATTATGTAAAAAAATAATGTTATACAAAGTTATATTATTTTTTTGAGGAAAAAAGTTACATTGTTGATTTTAGTTATGTTGAAACTTGTGTTTTTCAATGAATTTTTAATTATATTTTATTGTACGTATTAAAATTTTGGTTGTTGCTAAATCCATTTTTTATTTGGCTATATATCCCTTTTTTTATATCAAATACGGAGTATACAAGTTCACCCACAATGCTTAAAAAGGGAAATAAAAAAGTGAAAGGAACACTTTATAGTTGGGAGTCAAATTAACCAAACATGGCGTCGTTTCTAAAATATTTTAAAATCTAAAATATTCTTTCTAAACTCAAGATAAACTGCAATTAAATGTACACTTTCTGTTGGAGGAGCAATATAGGTTTGCGCAACGAAGGAGGTACTAGATAGGCTACTTTCAGAGTAAAGTGATTTTGATCAAACCAAAATACTTTAAACAGATAAAACATAAACATTAAAGAACGAGTATGATGGCTTTTTAGAAGAAGACTAAAGTAACTTGGACTTGTTCTTAATTGTTCTATCGATATAGGCCATTTATACAACTATTTATACACAAAACACTGATCGAACATTTCTTTTGAACTGAAAAATTGTGTCTGTTCAGTACCTATTCGAAGAGGAAACCGTTTTTTATGGACCGGACGCATCTCTTCACTGACCTATTTCCTATTCGAATAGGCAAAGACCTATTCGAATAAGTTGCAATAGGTAAAGGCCTATTTGAATAGGCTCTCACAGTTCATGCTGACCTATTTGAATAGAAAAATGCCTATTTAAATATATAGCTCAGTCATTTTGTTCCAAATAATAATATAATTGAATGAGTGGGTACTTTACACCTCCTAACTCGTTTCAATATTATTATTCCCTCTGTCCCGTCTGAATTTTTCCACTCTGACTTTACATGGGTTTTAATGTAAGTTGTAAAAAACTTTGACTTTCCAATTTTACCCTTTAAATTATTTACTCTCTGTGCCCTTCTTTTTCAGTAACACATTGTCTCTGCACTCCCATTCTCCCGCCTTCCGGACCCGTAAATGTGGTGGATCCCTTGGGCCTTGCAGGCCACCAATCCAGTCGGTGCATCCATAGATCAAGAACTTGGAATGCTTGGTTTCTAATGCCATTTCCTGTGGATGCCATTGGGATTGAGTGATGGAGAGAAAAAGAGAAGAAATGGGTAGCTCAGAATTAACAAGGAAACGGTAAAATCAAGAAGAAATCAAAATCGACATAGAAATCAAAACAAATCTAATGCTCCGTTTGGTATACGGAATTCAAACTATGAAATTAGAATTGGAGACAATATTTCTAATTTTGCTGTTTGGTAGTACAAAAATATGTGGATTTGGAATTGGTAGTGTCTAAAATGAATTGGAATTGGAGTTCTCAATTCCATCCAAAAAATTTCTATAGAATTTCAACTTCCAATTCAATTCCAATTTCGTCAATTCCGTGTACCAAACGGACTCTAAGGGTTCGTTTGGTATAAGGAATTAGTGGAATTAGAACTGAATTGGAATTGTAATTCCATAGAATTGAATTCTGTCAATTTCAATTCATTTTTTGCACTATCAATTCCAAATCTACATAATATTTGTGTTACCAAACACTAGAATTGGAATTGAAGTCCCCAATTCCAATTCCATAATTTGAATTCCATGTACCAAACGGGGCCTAAGAAGAAATCTATGAAGAAATTGAAAATAAAAATCAAAGATCTTAGGTGAAGAGAAGAAGGCAACAGAGAATCTAAAATTAAAATCAAATAGAGTTCTTACGCAATAGCCGCCGCCGCTCGTCAACTTCCGTCATCACTGTCGCCCCTCGTGAACTGTCGTTGCCGCCATTCGTCAATCCTTGTTGCTGCCATCGCCCCTCGCCAACCACTTTTGCGAGAAGGGGAGAAGGTGAGGAAGAAGAAGAAAAGAGGAGGGAGAGAGAGAGGGGAGAAAGAGCTGGAGAGCCAGTTGAGAAATGAGGAAGAAGAAAAGAGGAGAGAGGAATGGGTCGAGTAAATTGAGAAAGTGGCAGAGAAAATGAAAAGGAAAAAAAAGAGGAAGGGGTAAAGTAGACATTTTGGGTGTTGAAAATTTCTAAATTAGGCAAGTGGAAAGGTTCGAGAGGGACGATCCAAAATGGAAAGTCGAAAGATTTAAATGGGACGGAGGGAGTATTATTTAATATGCGGTCACTAAGTAAGTCCAATTAACCAAAATAGTTTGATGAAACTAAGTAAAATCACCAATAATATTCCCCTATTTTAGTGTAATCCTTGATTTATTTAGATAGTTTCAAAGTATAATAAAAAACTTATGCATAAACAAAATATCGCGACATCGTGTCGATTGAAATTCATCTCTGCACATTACACGTTCCAAATACTTGAACATCAGGGTGTAACTAAGGATTGAACCCTTTCTATTCTTTTCAATAAATGGAGATAATATAGACATGAGTTCTGCATATTTCTTGTTTTATCTTGACACTTTGTTTTACAAGCCTTGTGTCTCTGTTCTTCAACGAGCATATAAATGTCAAGTCCAAAGCTTTTTGAAGCGGCTAAACTTCATGCTACGTATAGGTGGTTCTTTTTGGTCTTGTACATGAATATACAATTTTTCAAAAGAACCATTAAGAAAGTATACTTCAACCTCCTCAACCTCTAGGTCTAAAAACATACCTTTGGGATAAATGAAAATAATATGCTCCATTCTCTAGATGTTAAATTTTCCACATTAAATTCAACACCTAATATCATACTAGGTGGGAATTGGGTATCTTAGCATGTGAGACATCATATAGACTTTAATCTCATCTATTTAGCCAAATTTTGTACAAGATATCTTCTTAACTCTTGGGTTAAATATATCAGCTAAATTGTGGTGAATTCTTACGAAATCCACCGATATTACACCATGTTTGATCAAATTGTGTACCATGATATGTCTAACACCGAAGTGTCTTGACTAACCATTATACACTTGACTATATACCTTAGCAAGTGTAGCAGCACTATCGAATCAAATAGAAATTGGTGAAATCTATTTAGGCCACAAAAGAATGTCAAGCACTAAGTTTCTTAGCTACTCGACCTCTTTACAAACCAAAGCTAAAGCAACAAACTCAGATTCCATTGTCGAGGTGGTGATGCGAGTTTGCTTCTTTGAACCCAATGACATTGCTCCTCCGCCTAGTAGAAAAAGTCATTCACTAGTTGAAGATAAACCTTCTTTATTAGTAATCCAACTTGTATCTGAAAATCCTCCAAGAACAGAAGGATCTTCAGTGTTCACCATAGTTAGTAATATACGGTTGACGTATAATACGTCAATACGTACGTTCGTGTATAATACGTTAAGATTTTATAAAATACGACTTACTATGCACATTAAACGTTTGGCATACGGATACAGATACGTACGCATTCTAAACGTTTCTATTTGTAAAATACGTCTTACTATATGTTTATCTATTTTACCATATATACGTCAAATTTACACATATTTATCGATTGATAGTCATCAATTTATATTAGGGTAAATAAAAATTAAAAAAATCTTTTAAATGAAATATTTACAATAGATTTTTTCAAATTATAATCTCTATTTATTTAAAATATTTATTTGAAAAAAATATATACTCCCTTCATTAGAAAAGATATCCTTATTTGATTTTCACCGTTTCACGTACATAGTTTAAAAACTGTTAAAAATAAAAAATTTATAGTTTAAATATATTTAGATAAAAAGAGAGTTGCGAGTCACTCATTCCTTTCTAAAAAGAAAATAAATTTTTTGAGACAGACAAAAAGGGAAAGAGAGAAGTCTTTTTCTGAACTTGACAAAAAAGTGTAAAACTTTTTGTAGATAGTATAAATTTTTTCAAATTGGTTCGGCACATGATAATCACCTAAAACCAAATCTCTTGGTCTAGGTATTTATGAGAACAGGTTCTCATCAAAGATTGCGTCCCTTGACTCTATGACGGTGTTAACGCCAACCAAGTCGATTGGTTTAATGACATGGAACCTATATTCCTTGGAATGTACAACATATACAATGAAGATGCAGCCTATATATTTCTCTCCTAATGTTCTTCTTTTAGGTTCTTAGAGTCTTACGACTGTCCTACAACCCCAAGCTTTTAAATAGTTCAAGTTAGGAGGCTTTGTAACACCCTAATCCGTTCAGTTCTGTAGCCCATTTCAAACTAAAGTATAAACTGGGTAATCGTGAAATTTAAAACAATTCAAACATCTTTATTTATCATAAATAATATTCAGAACATAACTGTAGAAACACAAAGTGTTTAATCATGCGGAAGCGAATTTAAAACATATCTCATAACAATCACAATTAATTATTTTATGTCTTTACGATAATAATTTAAATCCACACATCCATCACAACCGTCTCGCTCTATCTGTCTCCAAGAATTCATCACTTCATTCATGTTGTTTATCTACGTGTAGCAAATAAAACATACTACATGCTCAATGGTAAAGACGAGTAAACATATCTAATGCGTCGAACATCCATATGAACTGAATCTAAATTCATAATCAACTCATTTGATATCAGGCACATAACATTTGTTACAAACTACGCTTGGATAGGACATTGGAAATATAAAAATTTTGATGTCCAAACGTAGATCCACCCAAGATCCCTTACAAAAACTATGAGTTATTGTTTAGAAATATACGTTTATTGACGAGCAAGTAACGACATGTGGCTAACAGGATTGATCCAAGAGCTTTAGCCACAAAAGTATATGATCTCTAGTGCGTACACACGAACTTTGAATGGTGTTCTTGATAGATATTATGCTAGTAATTTTCTCAAGAATATCTTCTTAAAATATAAAATATTTGGAGTAATGAATTAAATGAGCAAAATAATTTGGCCTCTTAATTTCTAAGAGGGAGGGCCAAAATTCTCACTTGTAAAATAAGGGAGAATGATCTCCTATTTATAAGGAGTGCAATCCCTTTCCCAATCCAACTTGGAATATGTTTTTAAAGTTTAGGAAAGAAATCAAATTTCATTCCTACTTTAACTCCATATTTTCGGCCATATCACCATGGCAGCTTCCAATTTATTTTGTCAACTTTAATTATCAAATAATTAACACAAAACATATTTTAATTTGCTTTAATATTATATATACAACACACACACACACAGATATGTGTGTGTGTGTGTGGTGCTTTAGATATTGAGATCTAAGGGTCAGGATTGCATCAAAATTAGCTGCGCCAAAATGGTTTGAAAATGCATCACATCGAAATGCACCAAAATCCTTTGAAAGTGCATTATCTCAAAATGTGAACGTAGGATGCAATCTGAGGTGCACGATGCAACAGATCCAACAACTATATTTTATTCTCATTTCTCTCCACAAGGTGCATTCTCAGATTGTGGAGAGAAATGAGAATAAAATCTAGCCATTGGATCTGATGCATCGTGTGGCTTAGATTGCATCCTGCATTCAGATTTTGAGATAATGCATTTTCAAAGGACTTTCGTGCATTTCAACGTGATGCATTTTCAAACCATTTTGGTGCATCTAATTTTGATGCAATCTTGACCCTTAGATCTCACAATCTAAAGCACCAGATTAATTCTCATTTCTCTTCTAAGTCACATCTATCAGTGGGCCCGTTGATATTATACTTCCATAAAGGAATGGATAAATCCTGTCTACCTCATTCACATCTTTGCTTAGGCTTTACTACATACCCAAGACATAATTATACGTCCACTAATATTTCAAATGACATTAATTGTATCTCAAAGCATGCACCTATGCTTATCAAGAATCGTAATGACTTCAAGTCTAAGGATAGATATATAAATGGTCGTACGAAAATACTATTAACACATTTTAGGGTATGCCCATATAGTATTTTCATGGCGGGTCTATCCAGCAATATATCCAATATGTTTGCCTACGTATAGATTCAGATAACACCTTATCTATAGCTTATGAGACTCAGCTATCTCATCTCATACGTATTAGTCTTAATATATTATGACGTCCATATTATCATAATATTCAACTAAGGATATTTTAGATCTAGTCTCTATATTTGTAACAGTCTCACAATCAGAACATTGTAGTTCTCATCTATGTTACTAGAGCACTAATCTATGGAATGAAGCTATGTCTAAAGTACACGAGATTATTTAAACAGTCTTCAAAGCCTTTATTCTTGAAATAATTGAGATACAAATCATAAGTTGACCTCTAGGGCTTACATATATTCAACAACCTCCCACGAGCACTAACCCAATAATGCATTTCTCGAATGCCCATGGATGAAGTTTGACCCCCGTGCTTAACCCTTCCAGAGCTTTGGTCAGTGGATCTGCTAGATTGTCATCTGTTCCTATCTTTCAAATTTCTATATCTCCACGTTCTACGATTTCTCGTATTATGTGATAGCGTCCTACTATGTGCTTGGTTTTCTGGTGAGACCGTGGTTCCTTAGCTTGTGCAACGGCCCTAGTGTTATTGCAAAACAAGGGAATGGGGTCTCGACTACTTGGAACCACTCCAATTTCTGTGACAAAGTTCTTTATTCAAACACCTTCTTTCGCTGCTTCGGAAGCTGCCATGTTCTCTGCTTCTGTAGTAGAATCTGCGGTAGTGCCTTGCTTGTAACTCTTCCTGTAACGCCCCGAAACATATCCTAGAATTATTAATGGATAATTATTCAAATTAATCAAATTTGTTTTGATTAAAATAAATTGTTAGGCTTTGGGCCTAAGTAAAATATGTATTGATATCCAATAAACATAATTTGGATAAGTCTCATAGAGATAAATCCAACATTTGACTTATGGTGTCATCTTGATTGGGAACCTGAGTACAGACAAAATCAAGAATAAATGAAGAAATTGTTTACAATGTGAAATTTGCAATGATTTATTAAAATAAATCATGGAAATAAATAATAGGAATTAAATATGAGAATCTTATTGAATAGAGGTCAATTAAATGAATTTTCACTCTGTCAAAGTCAACCACCCAAAAATATGATGTCAGAAAAAGTATTACAAATAAATATAAAGATTATGTCGTTTGATAGAGTTTGATTGTCTGATCGCAACGGTGCAAACAGATTTCGATTCGGAGAAAGTTGGACCAAAAAGTGTACCCCGACTAGGACCAAAAATTAGTCCCAATCAGGGACTTGCGTTGGAATCGTGAATATCGCAGCCTGAGACCCCGAAACAAGAGAACCAATGTCATCTCCCATGTCCTCTTCTCCCTTCTTCTCTTATTTAAAGAACCCAGCTTCACCATTTCTTTACCATTCTTCTTCAAATTTTTTTCTGAAAGATAGCCTTGAGTGTGGAAAATGCAGTGGTATTGTTAATTTGGTAAGCCCGTAGATATATCTAGTGATTAGAATTTTCATATAGATCATTTCTATGCTCATAAACTGTCGCTTGGTTGAGTTTTGTGTTTGACATGCTTGAAAAACCAAGATTCATAAACCATGAAATTGTTGTTAAATGTAATACCCCATATTAAGATGGGAATTGGAAGAACTCAAGAAGATTGATAGTACTACTCATACCAACAAGGTGCATCTTCTTTTTGAAAGCTCATCACCTAGAAACTCCAAAGTTAAGTGTGCTTGACCTGGAGCAATTTTAAGATGGGTGACCCGCCTGGAAAGTTTCCTTGGGCGCACACGAGTGAGGACAAAGTGTGCGGGAAAGACATGTGTTGGTTTGTGGGGCCAGTCTACAATCCTGTGAGCAGACACTTATGGCCAGGGTGGGGGCCGGGGTGTTACATTAAAACTGTGAACTAATGTTACATAAATGATCTATGAACCTTGGAGAACATTTCTATATACTTTAATTGAAGTTTGGTGACTAAAAATGACATTTCCGTAAGTTGGCTCGAGGTAGAAGACAATGCAAAATCGGTTTTTCATTAATAAATCGATTAGACTTTCGTCTGCTCGAGAAATTGAGTTTAGCAGCACAATAATCTATTTTTACTTAAAATAATCGATTGTTTTAAGGAAAAATCGATTATTTGAGTAAAATCGATAATGACATTAATCCACTAAAGAAAATGAAGTCAGTAGCAATTAATCGATTTTCCTATTATATATTAATCAATTATTGTTCAGAAAACATGATTTTTGAACTATGAAATCCTATTTTTGATAACAATTGATTATGATCATTATAAGGATGCTTTTTCATGATAAAAATGATGTTTTTGGTAAATAAAACCTTATGTGATGCATGATGGTAAGTTAGAGTGTTAACATTCGAAACTAGGCCGTTATTTGTTATTGGATGTTATGTTGATTGATGAGTATGATGAATGATTATTATGATGATTATGATTTGGTGAACCTACTGATTAAAATGATTATTGAAGATTAAACTATGAATTGAAGTGCATACATTGATGATTATGAAATGATTTGGATTGTAAGGATATCTAGAAGAACTCTAAGATATACCTAGGTTGACGTTGGTTTGTAAGACTATCTTGAAGACATCTAAGATAGCTTAGAAATAGGCCTTGCGAGTATATTTATGAATATTATGTGGCCAGGGTTAAAACGTATGTACGGGGTCTACAAACCAAATTAAACTAGAGACACTCGTTTGGGGATATCACCCAACCCGACAGTGAGCATTCTGCTGTTAGCTTTTTCGTTGACCTTAAGCGAAGGTAAGTTTATCTTAAACTAGGCCTAGTTTGAGGATTAGATAAAAGTACCTTAGACTAGAATATAGTTTAAGAATTGATTAGAAATATCTTAAACTAGAATTCATTTAAAGGTTTATAAACATGAAAGAGATTGGCCTTAGACTAAAAATAGTTTAAGGATATTGTTAAATATGAATGATGAATATTGTATGTTGAATCTTGAATGTGAATGATGAATATTGAATGATGAATATTATGAATATCATGAATGATAAATAACTTGAATTAAATATTGTGAATATTATGAACGACTGAGGAATGTTATACATGAATGATGAATATTAATGCTGAATGTTGAATATGAACATTAATGTTGAATAATGAATGATTAAAACTGAATATTGATTATTGAATATCTGAACTGAACATTATGTGCATGATATCAAATGATTTGGTTATGAATTGAGATTCAATTTATATGGATGTTCGACGCATTAGATTTGCTTACTCAGCTTCAATGCTAAACGTGTAGTATGTTTTATTTGCTACACGCAGGTGAATAAAACGATGTGACGTAATCCTGGAGGCAGACCAAGGTGAGTTAATCGGAATGGATGTGATGGTTTTGAACTGAAGAGCATAAATAAATTATGTTTGTGATTATGATTGTTAAGCTTCCGCAATATTGAAACTCCATACTGTTTATGTTATGAAAATTTATTATTGTGATAAATAAAAGTGTTTGAAAAGTTTTAAATTTTACGATACCAAGTTAATACTTTAGTCCGAAAGGGACTGCAGACCTGGACGGATTAGGGTGTTAAACTTCCAACTTACCGCTCCACCGTTTAGACAATAAACATAGCGTGCCTGTGACTTATCGTCATCCCTGTCCGTTTGGAAGCTTGCATCAGTGTAACCAGTTTTTACTTTCTCGTATGTTTACAAACCTACGACCAACAGATTTTATTCAGAGTGTACTATAATTGCAACATGTTTTCGTAAGTCTATGTGATCTACAATTGGATCCTTATGTGATTCCTATAAAGGATAAATGATGTGCTTATTATTTGTATATTCCTGATATTTATAAAATTAATATTATTTGTGATCTTTGCTTTAGGATTGATAATTTTAAAATTCTGATAGACCGTTCTTTTTTGGATGAAAATAAATAACCGGATGGAAATTATTCAGTGTCCACCCCTACTACCATGTTAACGTATGACATTCAAGTATAGGACTTACTATTGTTCATAGTCTAAAAGTCAATACAAAAAAAAGTTGGGAATATGAGATGGAGGGAGTATGACATACATAGGGTGATTTTCCAATCAGTGCAGATTTGGGAAATGCATTCCCAAATGGTGAAGGGGTGTCTGACACAACATAATCCATTAAATGTATCATGAACCAGCTCCAACTATCCTCGTCTTCTTTGTCCACAAGGGAATAAGCTAAGGGGTAAATCTCGTGATTTGCTGTCATTGTTACTGCCAACAACAACACCCCCTTATATTTCCCATACAAGTGGGTGCCATCAACAGATATCACGCGCAAACAGAGCACCACCTATAATCTTCAACATCAATGCCCGAGCATGCTGCCGAAAGTCGACCTCCGGGCTATGATCACCAACAGGAATGAGTACGATCGCATTCATTTTAATCTGTGTCCTGGTCACGTCCTCTAAAGATGGCCTAAACCCCATCATATCTAAACACAATTGGGTCCAATAATCTTTCGTATTGCCACGCGAACCAACAATCAGGGTGCCATCTACGGGGAGACCAAGTAGAACCTCTACATCCTGTAATGTGATCCCAACCTCTCCAAATGGAAGATGAAAGGCGTGCGTCTCCGGCCTCCACCTCACCACTAAGGCGGTAATCAAAGCCCAATCTATTTGTAACTTAGCAATCTTTTCTACCCCGTAAAATCCATATTCATGCAATATCTCCACAACTCGTGGATGACGCTCCACACCAAACCCTTCCCTCAAGTTACCAAAAAATTTCACACACTTCACCGGTACGTCCCCAAACCCACGGTTTTGCCACACCCTATCACAACGATGTTCGCCGGGTCCCAAGACTAGTACATCGGGGATAATTGGTCCCGGATGGACCTCCGTTCTTTGAAAATTAATTATTTTACGAAATTAATTTCTTTATGAATACAAGAAATTAAAAGTATGTAATGCACCACAAAAGATCCACAAATATATCACACAAAAGATTCGGATATCTCATAAACATAAAAATTTTCAAAATTTTTAACATAGATCTAATCTATATTTTCAATTTTCTAAATTATCAACATTTCAATTTTTTTATATTCTCATCCTAGATCTAATCATAAACATATCTCATAAAGATTTCAATTACCAAATATAACATTAAATTAGAAATTTTATGAATTAAATGAGAAATAACGGTATTGTTTGTACCGTTAACTCGATCGACGACGGACGGCGACTTTCTGGTGGTTGGCGACGTCGACGGAAAAACAAATTGACAGCGGCGACGGCGGTGACGTTGAGGAGAAGGGCGATCGGCGTTGCTCCGCTGCTGGTTCTTCGTGAACGGGAGGGAGGGTTTTGGATTTGCTGGTTTAAGATACAATACAGGTGGTTGGGAGTATTTTTTTTAGTATAACGGTACTGGTAGTGCAGTTAACCTATTTATAATTAATTTTTTTAAGATAACGATACAAGCTGTATCGTTATTCGTTAATACCTTTTCCACTCTGACAACACTGATGGGGAACACTTTTTTTTCTTCACTGAACGAGAATTAATTTAGATACATACCCACTAGAAAGTAGAAAGGAAAAATGCTAGGGGTACACCAAAGGTGTATCCCATTTGTCTCCCACCCCCTCCATTACCACATAAATGGGCAAAAATTTGAAAAATACTTTGTATTAAATAAATAAAAAGTAGATAAAAATAGGTGGTGGAGAAGGGGGTGGTGAAGTAGAAAGTGGTCAAGAGTCACCTCGTACCTACCCACCCATCTGGTCTCAGAACATCTTGTCTCAAAACACACGCATCTATTCATTACAAGCACCTGGACAAATTTCCCACTTTTTCTCTGGTTTCAATTATCTCAAAAAATAATTTTTTGGATCTAAAGTTCGGGATAATTGAATTCAGATTGATGGAGGGAGAGGTGGTCGGAACATCGTCGCCGGCGTACACCGCCGAGACGAACGGGGCTCTGAGATGTGGATTTGAGGGCGGTGTAGTAACCAGGTCGAAATCGATTGAATTCCCTCTGTCGTTTTCGGAGATCGCAGTCGCGAGCGGCGTCGTTTTGGGCTTTGCGTTCGGTCTGCTTGGCGTATATCTCACCATGCCGCCTTCTGATTACAGCTTTCTCAAGATTCCTCGGACTATTGAAGACATCCAAATGTTAAGGTATCTAAATAATGGGAGACAACATTTTACAATGAATGTACGTGGTATTTAAGAACTAGTGTATTCTGTTTTCTTGTGCTGCTAGTTTTGATTGCTGCATTTATTGAACTATTTAAGATTTGTCTCGCAGCTCTTTTAAAACAACTATAGTATTCATTAATGTAGTTCACATTCTGGATTCGAATGGTTAATGAATGAATGTAGACATAATTGTGGTTATATTCATTCAACATTTCGTTGTACTGGGTCCTCTGTATTACAAAATGATACGGAGTACTCCATATTCTGTAATTGGCTATTGCTCTTTCCGTCCTGAATTAATTGTTCTAGTTTGACTTTGTGGAGTTTAAGAAAAGTGTTGAAGAGAACTTGGATAAAAGTAAAAAAGTATGAAAATAGGAATATAGAACTTCGAGCGTTCTTCAAGCTCCAAGAAAGTGGAGGCAAAGAGAGAAGAAAAACTTCGAGCGTTTCCGGGCTCCAAGAGAATAGAGAAGAAGATTAGGATTTTGATATTTCTTTATTGATTCCATAATAACGGGGAAGGGTTACAATATATAGGAAGTAAAGCTACGCTAGTTGACCTAATGGGCTCGGGCCCGTACTAAACTCTAATCTATAGAATATTAATAAATAATAATAAGTAATATGGAGTACTATTTAATAAATAATATAACTAATATATTATCATATCAGTGTTCACATTGTCAATTGTCACGCTGCCACAGCCAAACTACCATCCGCCACCTGTGGTCACATGAGTGTCGCCGCCGCTCACTAATGTTGACCGGCAGTCATATTGCACTGTCAACACTTTTCCATCACATATTCATCACTCTTACATGACAATGCGATTACATTCCTATTCAGAGGATTAAACTAGGTGACTCATATTTTAATATTTTAGTTAAGTTTGACTCCTATCTAGAGAGATTTCTTTAAAAAAAAGTGGGTGGTTCAAATATGTTTAGAAGAAAGAAAAAGATTGTAGACCACAAATTCTTTGCCTTATTAAGTAAGAAAGTAGGACAATTAATTTGAGATGAACAAATAAGGAAAGTTGGAGGATTCATTCAAGACACAGAGAGTAGAATAAAATGGACGAGTAGATACATGGAGTTTGAAATTGAAGAAATGTTAGTTAATAGAATGCATAACACTAGAGTTTTAAGGCAAAAATAAAAATTCTTAACAAACACAAAAGTATAAACCACCATGCAAATCTATTTCACTATTAGTTCAAATTATAAATCCAAATAAAAATGTATCAGTAATAATAATGAAAAGAGGACGATTGTTTTGACACTGCAATTATACTAGGTTCATTTGAGCACCATACAGTGCTTTGTTTGATTCTTAAGTCTTTCCTACCCCTAACCCCCGAGAAACCTCTCACCCCAGGCCCGCCCCCTACCTCTGCCCCAAATCCCCCAAATCAGGTGACAATCTATCAAAATTTTGATGGTTGATTGTCACCCGATTTGTGGGGATGGGGTAGGGGGCTTGGGATGGTAAGTTTGTGGGGGTTATGGGATAATAACCACTTTAGGTTTGAACAGAGCATCACAGTGTGCTCAAATGGATCCGGTTTTAGAACAGGACGATAGAATGGAGTGTCAAAAGAACCTAGCACCCTAGGGGTAACAGAAAAATGTAAATTAATGGTTTTTCAACTTTCTATCCACTCAAATATTTCTTTATCTAACAGTAAACTTTCCTCTATGCTAAAACCTTAGAAGATTCTTTCATTCTTATGTACTCATATATTGTTGTTATTGCACCTTGGTTCAATGTTCGAAAAGGCGGAATGCAAACCCGCCTCAAGGCGCGCCTCGAAGCTTTTTTCGGAAATTAGCATTGGTGCTAATCCCGATTTCACGCTATAGGCTTTTTTACGCAATTCTCTGAAAGGCGTACGCCATGGGGCGTACGCGCCGGTGCGCGCATTGAGGCTTACGCAATTCAATGATTAGAATTTAGGAAATTAAACGATTAAAATTTTGGATATTAAAGGTTAAAGTTGTCAATTACTCCAATTAATTAACCCAATTAAGTGTATATATGTTAAAATTACCTTTGTCGAGTGTCGATTACCCTAATTGCCTTTGTCGATTACCTTTCTACGACCTACGAACCGTCTCCAGCAGTCCAGCGTCTTCAATCTTCTTTCTCCGGCGAAGGTAATCTCTGCATCTTCTTTTTCTTTCCACTTGCGTTGATGGATAATGGATGATGATGGGTGGTGGGTGGTGCTTTTTCTGCTTTTTACAGCTGTCCATGCCTTTTTATCTTTTTATAATTGTCAAGGTGCTGTTTTTTCTTTTTCCTTTTTTTGTTATCTTTTTGTGAAGTAGACTAACATTCAATTCTTCAATTTAAGCTCATCACTTGGAGCAATATTATGTCTGATTCCATGTTAGACTTTGTTATGTTTGCGATGTATTACTTTGACAATATACTTTTTTCATGTTATTGGATTATTTATGTTATACATTATGTTCTATCTTTGGTATTAAATTGTTTTGTGAATATTTTTCAATTTAAAAATTGAGGCTTACGCCTCAAAACGCCTCAAGGCTTACGCAATACGCCATGAAATGAAAACGCCTCAAAACCGCAATACGCCTTTTCGAACATTGCCTTGGTTAGAAAAAACATGGAATGTAATAATTCAACAAAAAAAGAAAGGAATTTTGGATTTGGTATGCTCATCTCATCCAAAGTATAAGTTGCACAATCTCTGACCCTGCATCCATATGTGTTTCAATGTAACTAATCTGATAGAAGATACCTTATATTTCCATCATTGCAATACGACCACATAGGAAGTAAATATATGAACTAACTTGACACAAAGTGAAGGGAATCGTTGTGTGAAAGTGAAACCCTTTTATATGGCGGGAATGGAGAATATCATAGTCATAACACATGTTTCAACTTTTATGGGTATATTGACCTCTGTTTTGGTTCTTAATTTCTATAGGGATCAACTGGAGAGTTATACGAGTGACTATACTATGCAGGTCCTGTTTGGCTACTGTGTGGTGTACATTTTTATGCAGACGTTTATGATCCCAGGGACAATTTTCATGTCTTTACTTGCGGGTGCTCTATTTGGAGTCTTTAAAGGGGTAACGCTTGTAGTGTTTGCTGCCACTGCCGGTGCCTCCTCTTGCTTTTTCTTGTCCAAATTAATTGGCCGGCCCCTTGTCTTCTCCATCTGGCCTGATAAGTTGAGTTTCTTCCAGAACCAGGTTATTTCTGATCCTTCTTAGTTTATTCTCCTTCTTTCCCTTTGGATTCCTGTCAAAGAAGATTTCATGGAGTTTTTATGCAAATGTTAGAATGTTGGTTACTTTCCATATTTGCCCCTTGATAATACAATTATTAAAACAGGGTGGTGAAATTGGGGGAGGGATATTAGAGATGATGTGACAGCAGAGTAAAATGGAATTTCAATAACCTTAGTAATGCCAAACTTGGAAGTGTGAAGAATCTAATTGGACTACCAAAAATAAAAAGTGTGAAGGATTCAAAGGGGTAGAGGGAGTACTATATATACTACCTCCATTCCATGTTAACTGTTTATTAAAACTTTCTTGGTACATTCAAAAATGAATGAATGTAGACATACCTTTATGTCGACATTCATTCATTTTTTAATGTATCAAGAAAGTCATAACAGACAGTTATTATATGGAATGGAGGGAGTATCTCTTTCATTTGTGGTGTGGATGGAACTGGCGTGCTAACTTCAAAAGAATCAATCAGGTGGCAAAGCGGAGGAAACGGCTGTTGAACTACATGTTATTCCTTAGAGTGACGCCAACACTGCCCAACACATTTATTAATGTTGCTTCTCCAATTGTTGATGTGCCTTACCACATTTTCTTTCTGGCGACATTCATTGGTCTTATTCCTGCGGCTTATGTTACTGTCCGGGTAATGTGTTTCCACTCTTAATTATGCAGTATTTCTTTCGCATAGTGATTCATTATAGATACTACTGCAACCAATGTGATTTGACTAACCTTCAATTTACTTTAATATATGAAGCATATATTCTTACAAAGCTATGACTTGTTCCCTTGCATTTTCTCTTATTTGTTGTTTATGAGTACATTAGTCAAAAAACAACAACTACAACAAAATCCAATATAATCCCAACTATGTTAGGGTCTAGGGTCAAGATGTATGGATTAAGCCACACCCATATAAATATTCTTTGTTAAACATATTTTCACAAAAGTACAGAATTTATAACTGCTGCTTAA